CATATTCTGCTTGGAAGATGAGGTATCTTCTACTTCTCACTAGACAAAACCATTATGTTGTTAGAAGGCTTTATACTGGAAAAACTTGATAAATAGTAAATAAATAAAATCTCATTTGAAAAGCAGAATAGTTGCTGTCTGTTTTATAGCCAGATTTAGCAGATGCGGGTTTGAATGTAAAACAGTTGTGAAAATAGCCAGTGTCAAACTAGTGCAAAATTAAACTTGTGGGGTGTTCTGTTTTCAGTGTCTGTTATTGTTGAAGTACTCCATTTCAAAAGCATGCATTCCTTCCTACAGAAAAAAATCAGATTCCTTAGTTGAAATTAATTAGCATTCAGAAACCAGATAGCATGTTTTTGGGTATTCATGAGATCTCTGTTTGAAAAAATGTTTTTAACTTGTAGAAATGTGTTGCAACACACAGATGGGAAGAAAAAGAAAAAAAAAAATCTCTTTAGCAAGCACTGTGTGTAAAAGGAATATTACATTTTGCACGCTCCTGATTACCCTGTGTAAACAGTTTTTGACATCTGTCTTTATAGTTTTCGAGGAGAGGAAGACTTTGTTAAAAGAACCATTTTTATACAGCAGTCACCATTTCAGTCTTGCTTTACCTGTATTATGAAAGCAGATGGTCTGCATGTCTTTTGAATATTTATAACTATCAAAAACAATCTCTTGCTATTCACCCTTAGGCTTATGAGATGTCAGGACTGTTCTGGTTGAAAAAAAAATCATCTTGGGTGTTTACAGAAAGAGGATTACATTAAGCTGAAATGACTATACATTTTCCAGTTTAATATTTGTCCATCAGCTGTTTAATCGTATTTAGATAATTGTGTAAATAAGTTGTTGCAGCCCTTGCCCCTTCCACTGAGCAGGCTTGAAGCTTTAAACACCGGTGAATGAGTTGCAAAAAAGCTCGGAATTTTTTTTTTTTTTCTCCTGGTTAAACAACCTGGAAGGCCTAAATAAGTTTTGGTTACAATGCTCCTTTTGAGGGAAATGTTTCATTAGCAAAGGAATCCCCGATATCTAATTCAGCCAAGTTGTTTTAGGAAGCTGTTGTGCCTGTTACTCTCTGCTAAGAGAGACTCTGTTAGTATGTATTTGTTCCGTGTAAATACTGCAGCCCAACTACTCCTTCATGAGGCATGAAAACAACCTCGTTCTGCCCATATAAAAATAATTTTAAGGTTATTTAGGGGAAGTTTTGGGACTGTGGGGGTTAAAAGCTTTTTTGACTGGAAGCTGAGCAATCACTGATAACAGATTTTGCTGTGGTTGGTTGATTTGGCAGAAAAGCATGAACAGTTTCGGTTTAGATGATTGAATTAACCTGATTAACATTGTTTTTGTTGTTTTGCAAAAAGGACAACAGTATACTTTTAGCGATGATCGAACAATACTTCACCTGGTTGGAGAGCAGTGTCAGAGGCAATGGCTCAGAAATGCCTCCTTTGTAGCACCCCCAGCGGTGGCTGCAGTGACCACGAAGGGCTCGGGTCCTTCCCATCTCTTGCAGGACGCACCTTGGGTTAGCTTCTGGCACGACGCGAAAGGTGTCTGATGCTACCGTTTTGTCGGGTGTTACTTGATGGGCATATGAAAAGAGTTCTGGCTGAGATTTAAGATATTTCACCAGGGAGTCCCCCAACTTGGTGTCTTGTTTTCAAATCTCTGGTATTTAATCTTCCTGAGAGAATGGGATTTGGTTCAAACTACGCCGAGTGAACCTCAGCTGAACTTCAGAACGAATTCTACCCCTACCTCCACACGGTTGTTGGATGCCTAATTATAATTAACTTATTTGGCTAAAAAAAGAGCACTTGGGCTGCAGCAGATGGTATCATTCCAGAATAGTGGGATTTCTGTGAAGGTGGCACCATTTCAGATGAGATCTCCTGATTCTCAGAGCAGGACTGCACGTGATTTGGTTGTGCGAGGAGGGATGGAGAGAGGGGAAAGAGGGAAATTTGGGATCTTGAAGTCTCATAACTTACTTTTAAGGATAAACTTCTGGGAGATACAGATAGGAGACTGTAGATTTGTGATCAGTTTTTGCATTCTATCAATTTTCTTTGTGAAAAAAGAAATTAGAGTATGAATGCTGAATGTGATGCATTTGAATATTTGTATGATATATTTATATTCATCATCCTTGTACATGGACAGCATCAGCTTCCGTGCCTCACAGATAAGGAATGCCTATGTACAGTAGTACCTGAGTATGATGTGCTTCAAATACAATCATTTTCATTTTGATTATTGATAAGTATAAGCTAAGACATGGGGAGCTCCTCACATGTGATGACCCGGGAAATAAGAAAAACTTCCCTGTGCCTCCAGTCTGGATCGTGGATCTCTGAAGACCACTAACTCACAGGGTTAATCCTCAGTTTTAGGCCTGAAGCATAGTGGGCATTTGTATATGTAGATTGCTGTTAAAACATACGAGAGTTCTACAGCAATAGGAATTACGTAGGCATTTCTATAGCAAAGTGCATCTCTCTGCACTGATGTGACTGCAGGTTTGATGACAACGTAATAAATAAAGCATAGAAACAATGAAATTCAATGTTGTCAAGTTATTTTCTGAGTTAACAAGGTAGTAATATTTTATCTGGCTTGTAAAATTTTGCCTTCAGTGAATTAGTAAATAAATCATTGATTCCTCCTGATGAGGATTCTTAGCGTAGGTAATATCACTTGAATGTTTGCATGAAGTGTTCTCGAAGAAAAAGCAGGATAATTTTCATTTTATAATGTGTTGATAATGTCTGTGTTTTGTGGTGGTTTTTTTATCTACTTTGAAGAGCTTGAGTAAAATCCCAATATTAGCCATCAGGGCCTGAAATTCACATTGTGTTAAAGAAGCTAAAATTCCTAGCAGTGTTATTTAAACAGACCAGTCCCCTACTTGGTTGTAAAATAAAGTAACTGCATTAAATTTATTCCTGAAGAAGCAGGGGTTGTCACAGACTGCCATGTCATTGGCATATCTTCTTTGTAAAACAACTTGGAAGGGAGGACTAGGAGATCCTAGTTAAACATCTTCGTCAATAGTAGGTAATTTTCTAAAATTATTATTAATACACCTGTTTTTATACTTACTAAAGTTATTTGGGCAAGAGAAGACATCTGAAAGGGGCAAAATAAAATGAGAGAAAACCACCTTGAAGTCTAAATGACATCCACAAAAAATGCACAAGCTAATAGGTGGTCCATTAGATGTCCAAGCTCCCCATTTTGCACATGCAGACCTGCAGGTTTTGCATGTACAGTAATTGTGCATTCATATAATTTACCGGTTCAGATCCAAAGGACATTCTAAATCATGCCTTATGTATCGTGTGCCCATGTTTAAAATGGTTTAATCTGTGAAAGAGCTTAAACAATAATTTTGTAAGTATTAGACATTAATGATACTGCTATTATATTGGAAATTGAAATTGGGTTCAGCTGAGCTTCGTTCAGGTCATTCAGGCTAGAGTTGCAGTAGTCTATTAAGATTTCCTTCTCCTTTTATACCAGTGACAAAAGGCTTCTAGCTAATTTCAGAAATGCCAGATTAATATCAAGGAATGGTAAGTATTTTGGTGATTCAGAGAAACATTAAAATAGCTGCCTGGTGAGTAGAGGGTATCTACATTTGGCATAAATAATACTGCCTCACTCTAGCAGTTCTGAGCCTCCACAAATAGCTTGTTACTGAGTAATATGCTAGAAAATGGTTATAATGAACTTCACTAAGATCAATAATCAAGGTACTTTTACTCAGAAGCTGAACTACCCTTACAAAAGAAGACTTATAGTAATATTTATTACATTTGTACTCCAAACTCTTTCTTCCAGTGGTTATTGCTGTTTGTGTAACAAAGGGTTGATGCTGTACATTGATTTTATGACAGCACAAATATAGCTAAATGTTACATGCTGAATAGCGAAGAAACATAATAATCAGGGCTTTGTCTTCTTGACTGTCATTGTTTTCTCAATACACTGGACAATTCCTGTAGTTAAGCTAAAAGTAACTACTTGCCACATAGAAATCTAAAGGGTGGCAAAGTTCAGTCTATTGAAATTACATTTGCTAATTTTGTTGTTTGTACATCATATACTGAGTATAATTTTCAAGTTGGAGAATTATGTCATTTTGCAAGGTTTAGTCGTAATTGATTTTGTAAAAGAATGTACTGGAACTGAAAGTTTTATGTGTTGTAAATGCCACTATTTTAAAATTGGTCAAAACTGAGCAGAAGGTAAATTTCTCACTGTAGCTATCTGATATCTCGAGAACCTTTGAGAAAAAAATGTCTGTATCATCCTTTGGTCTATTTTACAGTTAATATTCCATTACAGAATTAGACATGACAATAAGATCTTTTCATAAGCCTGTTTCTCCAAATCACTTAAAATACCCTGTTTAGGAAAAACAAGTCTGGGTTTCTTTTGGGTTGTTACATATTTTATTCTACTATAACCCCCCTTATTTTATCCTACTAATAGGTCGTTCAGAAAAACTTTCATCCTATGATTTTCTGGGGTCTGCCCTGTGATAAGTGGCACAAAGGGAATGGGTAACTTGGGACATTGCTTGTGTTTTTAGAGTCAGTGTAGGATTTGTATGCCTGTAAAGCTGTATGGGTACGTGAAAGGTCAATCAAATTTAAAAGCAGAAATAGTACGAACAAAATGCACTTTCAAGATTAACATCTTCCGTCCAGAGCCCATCCCATTGCCTCATGTTTCTTGGTCGATAACTTTGTTCTTCTCTTAGTACATCTGCTTTTTTTGCTCCCATTTGCAATATGCCTTGGTTTGTTTTTATGCTCAATTAATGAGTTTTTTAAAAGGCTTTGGACGATAGGATTAAAAATACAATATGGTTCTCAAACTCTAAAAATACAGCATTTTCAACTATTGAAATAATTTGTGCTTTGACTGTACTGCTCTGTATTACAGATTTTTTTTTTTCTTCTCCCCTTTTCACACAGAGTATGATTTCTTCCATTGTGAACAGCACTTACTATGCAAATGTCTCAGCAGCAAAATGTCAGGAATTTGGAAGGTGGTATAAACATTTCAAGAAGGCAAAAGATATGATGGGTAAGCAAAAAAAAAAAAAAATGTTGCGATGGTGGATACATACCACTGTGTGTCACGTTGAGGTCTGTCACAGTCATATAAGAAGCCAGGTCCCGTCACGATAAGTTTAGGATGCTTTTGATGAGTAGATGTAGAAAGTACATATATAGTGAAAGAATTCATTTAAATAAATATTTGCTATTGAAACAGCCAAACTGATTGGGTTGCCAGAGATGTAAAGCTGTCATTCTGTAAATCTAGAGATCTCCTACCGCCCAGAATAATTGTTTAAAAAACCTGTTCCTGGAACTGAGAGGGACTGATTTTTTTAATGTATGTTTTTTTTTTCTTGCTCTGGCTAATGTATGTTTAAAGAAACATGCTTCTATAACTATCACTCCCTTCCAACAAGAATGCTATAATTTTATAAATTCCTATCTTTCTCTAATTTTGGGACCCTGATTTCAATTCATTTTAACAAATAGTTGTGACAATTGTTTGCTTGTTGTAGTTAACCGCAAGTAGAATTATTGGAGAAAAAAAAATCCATCAGTGGGACATACTAATTCTGTAGTAGTTTTTATCTTTCTGTATTGCCCTCTTTTAAAACTATTTCTTAAACCTGTTAACATAATTTTGAACACTTTGTGTGAGAAAATTTCTACGTAGTTTTCAACAGAATGAAGAAATGGGACCTCAGTTTGGATTGAATTTTGAGCTTGACTTAGGTTTCAGTATTTGAAGCAAAATCATTCATCTACCAAAACGGGTTCCTTGCCTTTTATAGCTTAAGGCTGTAATGAAGACAATGCATCACTTTTGTGATAATTGCTTGAATTACTATTCCAAGTGAATGGCCCACTTGGGTTGATCTCTACTTTCCACTAGTGAAAAAAGGCAGCCTCTTTCCTTTATCTACTCTGTACCTCCTGTGCAAAGCCAAACCCTTCTCCTGAGACCACCAGAGTCGGTGGTAAGACTTCACTTGGTTTCAGGTGGTCCGTGTGCGAGGCAGCAGAGCACCTGCATCGGGGGGATGACCTTTCTGCAGCATCCTCTCCCACCTCCATTGCTGCAGCGCTCCTGCACAGGGCAGCCCCTGCAAAATTTGCCTTACGTGACCTGCAAAGACAGGTTCACCGTCTGTTCATTCATTTGGGGACAATGAAGCCAGCGCCTAGGAAACATGCATGTGTGCATGTGTGTTTTCCTGTGTAAACTCGTGCTGGGGGGAGAGGCTGTGCTGCTCCCAAAGGTGCACAGACAAGGAGCAGCGGGTGCTCTGCCAGAGAACTGATCCAGGCTGTGGGCACTAGACCTCTCTGCAGAACAACCCGCTTTCTTTTTTTTCCTTTCTTTCTTCCCTTTCTTTCTTTCTTCCCTTTCTTTCTTTCTTCCCTTTCTTTCTTTCTTCCCTTTCTTTCTTTCTTCCCTTTCTTTCTTTCTTCCCTTTCTTTCTTTCTTCCCTTTCTTTCTTTCTTCCCTTTCTTTCTTTCTTCCCTTTCTTTCTTTCTTCCCTTTCTTTCTTTCTTCCCTTTCTTTCTTTCTTCCCTTTCTTTCTTTCTTCCCTTTCTTTCTTTCTTCCCTTTCTTTCTTTCTTCCCTTTCTTTCTTTCTTCCCTTTCTTTCTTTCTTCCCTTTCTTTCTTTCTTCCCTTTCTTTCTTTCTTCCCTTTCTTTCTTTCTTCCCTTTCTTTCTTTCTTCCCTTTCTTTCTTTCTTCCCTTTCTTTCTTTCTTCCCTTTCTTTCTTTCTTCCCTTTCTTTCTTTCTTCCCTTTCTTTCTTTCTTCCCTTTCTTTCTTTCTTCCCTTTCTTTTTTTTTAATTTCTGCCCATGATAGGACTGAAGGGGAAGGCAGGGCTGCAGGTGGGATTTCTTTCTACAGGTGCCAATTTCTTCCAGCTCTCATCCTTGTGGAGGAAAGTGTGGTCTTGCACTGAATGACCGTTAGTGAAGATCATAATTACCATGAAAAGCTCAGACACTGCCTTTAAAAAAAAAAAAAACCAAACACTTTATTAGTATAAGAAAAAATTGCTACAACACTTTTGTGAAGATCTTGGAGTTTTGGTTTTTAAATAAAGCATGTTTTCTTAAAGCTATTTCTGGACCAGCATTGCTAAAGCTCTAGAATTAAGATTGTTTAAAAAGTGACATACATTGATAAAAAGGAGACTCCTTTACATCAGCCTAGAGTTATTTTATATTGTCTTATCATGCACAAGAGGGGAGCTGGAAGCACTCTTGTAGTTCAAAAACTGTGTTGTTAATTAAAAAGGAGGGTGTGTCAAGGCAGATGAGTTAATGTAAGAAAAAAAATCAACCATGTTGCAAGTCACTGAAAAAACCCGTGCATACATGGTTGCAAGATAAAGCAGCCCATCTGTGTAATTTACATAAATTATACTACTTCCTAGCAATCCCATACAATTGATGCAGCATATAGGCGTTAGCAGAGCATGGGGAGGTCCGCACCCCACCCTGCTTGTTACAGATTTCCAGTGGCTGGGAATTGCAGATGTCGTGGCGGGGACACCACGGGAAGAACAAAACCCGTCGCCGGGGTCTCTCTCTCTCTCTGGGCAAGGTGTGCTTTCCCGTACCAGCCCTCCTTACCCTTGGCGCAGGTGCACTTACTGTTTCACCCGCATCTTCCGCAGCGCACGGAGTGGTTTCCCATCTCTTGTCTTTGCCCCCTCTCTAGCTGCTTGCTGCCTTGCCTGAAGACCCCTGCACCCGTCGCTGCGGGGATGCGCTCTGCAGCCACACGCTCATCGCTTGGTTGCGTGGCACCTTTGCCAAACTCTCAGGAAATTACTCCTTTGCCATACATGGTTTCCAGCACGTGGTTTTGCCTCTGATGTTCTCCTGATTCCTCCAAGGGCCCAATGATGGTGGTTGGTTGGTTGGTTGGTTGTTTTTTTTTTAATATCAGCTACACCATTATTTGTAGGTAAATTTTGAAGGCAAATGGCCGCAAGAGTGATGTTATGGGCCCGCTGGTCTAGGCTGGAGAGTGTAGTCAGCTTGAACCCGAATACGCCGTTTTGTATTTATTTTGATTAGCACGTCTTACAAGGAGCGTGAAGTTCATGATTTTCAGTCTTATGTTGGCTTTTTCAATCTTTCTCTTCCACCGTAGTTGAGATGGATAGTCTTTCTGAACTATCCCAGCAAGGTGCCAACCACGTCAACTTCGGTCAGCAGCCGGTCCCAGGGAACACAGCCGAGCAGCCTCCATCCCCTGTTCAGCTTTCTCATGGTAGCCAACCATCAGTTCGGACCCCACTTCCAAACCTGCACCCTGGACTTGTATCTACTCCCATTAGCCCTCAGCTGGTAAATCAGCAGCTGGTAATGGCCCAGTTGCTGAATCAGCAGTATGCAGTGAACAGACTTCTAGCCCAGCAGTCCTTAAACCAACAGTACTTGAACCACCCTCCTCCTGTCAGTAGATCCATGAACAAACCGTTGGAGCAGCAGGTCTCAACAAACACAGAGGTGTCTTCCGAAATCTACCAGTGGGTCCGTGATGAACTGAAACGAGCAGGAATCTCACAGGCAGTATTTGCACGTGTGGCTTTTAACCGAACTCAGGTCAGTCATGTTTTTTCTTCTTTTTTTTAAATCTAAGAGCCCTTTCTTTCTCTCTATTTAGTAATTGTCACCTTTTAAAAGCCTCTCTCCTCATTTCTGCCTTACCACTTATGTCCTGTTTCCGAACCACAATTCCTTGCAGGACCAGTTTCCATGTTGGTACAGTACAGGAATCTTCAGTGATTGGTTTGTGGAAATACCCACTGTTCTTACAGACACCTGGGTTCCTCTCCAGTTGTGATGGCTTATCTTAATCTTCTCTGGAAAAGGAGCGAACAGCTCTATGCAGAACCATTCACAAAGTTACCCAACAGATTGCCTTTTGTGTTGCAAAGGTGTACTGGTACCGACCACATGCATGCACTGAACAACCTGTCTTCTTTCACAGGTGTACTTGAGATGGTCTTTCATTGTTGTTTGCATTTATTTTTATTATTTTCTAGTGAAAGTTTTAATAACATCTTTTCAGGCTTCTGGAAAGATTAAAAAATCTTTATTTTTTTTATCATCTACTCTTTTCATGTACTTTTGTAGTTTGTTGCAAAAACAGTAGTTGCTGAGATTAACCAATGTCCACGTCAGAACATATACTTCAGCTCTTCAATGCAGAAAAAACTAGCCCTAGCAAAGCTGAAAAGTAACACTAAAATGTGTTATTTTTTACACCTGTTTTAGAAGCTAACCCTGTTATAATTTATTCTGCTCTATGAATTTAACTTTTAATGCCATGTTGCATGGAATGTAATCAAGCAGAAATTATGGAAGAAATGTCAGTATATCCAATGCAAATAATATGATCTCAAAATTTTAGAAGTCTGTTTTAACACAAAATAAAATAGAAATTTTTTAAATAGGAAATACGGGTTTTAAAAAATCCAGATGAAAAAATTAAACTTATGGAACAAGTATTTGTCCATCGTAGAATACAATAAAAAATAAAAATCGTAACTTGGGCTTCTCTTGAAATGTTCGTGTTTTTCCCTGCATAGCTTGGAGGATAACAATTCTGTTTCAAATGCACTGGTACATGGTTTGAATCAACATGTCATTTGTAATTGTTCTGAATTATTATTGGCTTAAAAACTTTTACATCCTCCTTTAGCTAAAAGAAAGTAGAGTCATGGTGTGAATTCTCTGTAGAGCTCTGTGTGTCTTTTCTCTTAACAGCAGAGGAGGTTTTCAAGATCTGGGTCTTTCATACCAAATTTCATTAAGTCGTGCAAGGATGACTTGCTTAAGTTAGGTTCAGGCAGTGTCAGTTGTTACATTTACAATTAAGTGACACAGAGCTTTGTTTAATACAGTGTTTAATATTTTAACTATTGATGCTATGAAGTATTATATTTAGTAGTTTATTTATTGAAATAATAATAGTAGCTTCAAGTTACTGTGGTTTGCAGCTGCCATCTTACCTGGGCAAAAAGCTGAGCAAATAATTCAGAAAATAAATAGTTTATTAGATATTTACTTCTTTCTCAGACTTGCCTAAAAGCAGCTTGTTTTCTCTCAGCTTCCTTGCCCCTCCAAAGCAATTTGTTCATTTTTTGCAAGCTACTTTTGCGTACAGCTTTTGGTCTCTGTCATTTGTGCATGAACAGTATTTGTTACATGATGAATGCAACTGTAGAACCAGATTTCTAGTGCGAATACTGATTCCTAACTAATATATATTTTTCTTACTACAAATGTTATTAAATATTTGTTTAAAGTTAAATTCTTCCACAGATGTTGTGGTTAACCAGCTTGGTAAAATTAGTTCAGAGTGACCCAAACCTGGGAGGAAACCCCAAAATAAACGTTGAAAACAAATCCCATTAAGAGATACAAAATATAAATGTAATATATTTTGGCAATTTTCAACCAAATCTACTTGAAAGAACATGGAGTCGTATCCCTATATCCTATAAATTGTGTTATCTAGTCAAATTAACATTTGCAGTTAGCTACATAAGGTTTCACGATATTTGTTGTGTACTGTGGCAAACGTAGGGAACAGAAAGGAAAAATACTAGGTGCCTAGGCAATGATGATATTTAGATATTTATTTTCTAATATCAATGTAATTTTTTTTTTTTTTTTTTTTTTTTTTTGCTAGTGCAAGTGAAATGCTTGTTTAAATTCATCTACTGTTTTCTGAGATAAAAAGCTAACTCGGGCTTACGGCTGACATTTTTGAAACTGTCCTAAGCATATTTGAGCCGTGTCCAGGGACCATATCATGCCATCAGTTTCTGAAGGCAGAAGGTCTCACTGAAATCGGTTAGGAGTTCTGTGCAAAAAAACCCTGACATTGAGATACGGTCTCAGATGAGGGGAGAGATTTGCTCTCAGCATAGAAGTTACGGAAGGAAGTGAACTATAAACTAACAGTAATTTAGCTTAATGTTTTGGCAATAAAAATGGACTTTGGTAAAATTGGCTGAAGATGTTGGCACCTCTTGTTTTACAGACTTGTGCTGTGCAATATGAGTACAGAATTCGGTAGAGGGGTTGGGTGGGAATAGGGACTTCTACCAAGTTAGTGTGGTAATTCAACACTTGGCCCTAATTGCCAAGAATTTTTGATTTAGGGGGAAAATGTTGACTAGAAATGTTTCTGCTTCCTCCCAGCCCAAAGGAAAGAATTTGGTAAAAATACTTCTGAAAACTAGGGTGTCTTTTTTTTTTAATTATTATTGCCATCTTTTTGTAAGGCAGAAAACAACCCCTCAGCCACACCTCAGAAAATTGGTGTCCGTAATATCTTCTTGCGTAACTTCCCCCCTACCCTTAACTGCAAAAATGGTAGTTCCAAAAATGTGTAGTTCTCAGGAATGTGCCTTGCAAAGTTCAGATAGCTGTAACTTGAATCAAAATTAGCATCTATACAGGCACAATAGAACAATTGTAGGGAGCAGAAGCGGTTTTTGGCGGGTGAAGCACCTCGCCCCACGAGAAATTTCACAGTGGTCCTTCTGGGAAGGCTTCAGAGCACAGTGGGGTCTGAAGTTTTATTTGTCCTTCAGCAGTTGCGATTCCAGCTCACTGGCTGCAAAGAAACAGATTGAATCCTGTCAGCTCCTCTCCGTAGCGCGCCATGGAAAAGTTTGTTGAGCCAGGGTTTGTGCTAGTGGATCTGAGTTTCAGCTCAAGCATGGCTACCAAAAGTGTCTACTGGTCTCTCTGTTTGCTAGGGTAATTTTGGTAAATTGAGCTGCTTATATTTCAGTTTCTGCTTGGCCAAATTAATAAACACAGTATTTTTTCCAGCTGATGTCAGTGCACCGTGCAGACTCCTCCGCTCTCTCAAAAGAGCGGGTTCAGTTCTTTCCTGGGCGTTGCCGGCCAGAAAACGGCATTTGTGATCAGCTCGCTGGCCTTGGGAGGTACTGAGCATCCGCGGGGTGACGGCAGCGAGGCATGGGGGCAGCCCCCCGAAGCGCGGCGCCCCGCACCGGCCCCCCGTCAGCAGAGAGGCTCAGCCTGCCCCTGCAAGCCTGCGGGTGGACCGAGGAGTCCTCTGCTCCCTGCCGCTCGTCTTGGGAGAGCTGGCGCGGAGCATCGGCGCTCGTTCGGCTGAACCACCTTCGGAGCCCTAAACAAATAAGCCAACTCCTCTACCCGTTCCGTCTTGCCTCTGTACATGTGAACAGGAGCCAGGAAAGCGGAACGCTTGGGTTCCCACAGGCAAGCCTGACATTTGACTTGAGGGCGTAGCTTAACCTGGCGCACGGCGGGGTGACTGGTACCTGCTGCATGAGCGAGGAGTCGTGTTAGTCATGGCTGTGGTTGGAACTGGAACTCGGGGCTGCCCGTCTCTGTTTGTGTACGCTCTCAACCATAACATTTGCTGCGTGAACTTGGGTGCTGCTGTACAGAGGTGACCTCTCGGCTCCGTCTTCGCGAAAGGAGGGGGAGTGCTTTTCGCTGCTTTTGCCATGGCTGACTATTGAGATTTTGCTTCTTCCCACCAGTGACAGTTTTTTTCATCTCGAGGTTTTTGAGTACTTCTCAGTGTTTCTGCCAGATACCTTTTCTCTCCCCCTCCTTTCTCCTTCACCCGCACCCATGCTTGTTTAAAATATTAGCTGCCAGGATATGTTGCCTTTCGTTCATGTATAATGCCTTTTCTCATATGTGAAAGCTACTGCGTATTTAGGACTGCGTTCATGCTAATTCTGGGCAATTGCTATTTCGAGGGAGAACACTTGGATGCAGTAAAAGGCTCTGTGTAATTTTAAAACAAAATCTAAGTTTACACAAACCACCTTCTCAGGCACTTTTTTTTTTTCTTTCCACTTTGTCTTTGGCACACTTTATTTTCCAGTAAAATGAAAAATGAAGATGGATTATTCAAAATTGATAACAGTAATGGACCATCATGTAATGTTTTATTGAATTTGAGTTCTGTAAATTATGTGGTAGAGAGAAATTTGCCTGCTTAAGTATAACAGAAATTGCCACTGTATTCATATAATTCTTCGTAGTGTAATTTAAGAAAAAGCACACTATCCATATCACTATTGAATAAAAGGTAAAAAGGTGCTATTACACTATCATGACAGCTCTCCTCTTGCTGCTAAGCGACATAGATAAATGTGTCTGCTTATAACTTACTTGGCGGGGATCCAGGCCTGTGGGTGGGGCTTGCCAGTAGCCTTCCACCTGGACAGGGGACGGGAGCACCCTGCCGCGGCGAGGGATGGCGTTCGGGGATGGTCCGCGTGTTTTGGGGAGGTTTAGGCAAATTGCATTTTTTCTTCTGGGAGCTTTTGAAGTTCTATCAGGCTGATAAAATCTATTTGAATCAGTGATTACGTTCAAAGAGGAGACAAACTGGGGGCCAGACAGGCAGTGTTTTTGTTCATATTGGCAGACACTTGCGTTTATCTCCGTTTTTAAAGAATTCATAATTAGCTTTCAAAAGCCCTGATAATATTTATTGAACATTTTTGTGCAATTAGTAATGAATTACACTTGTGATGACATGTAAACTTTCTTTTTTTCAATGGGACCTGGTAACATTTTAAGAAAATACTTTTCAGTGTGAAAAGAATACAAGGGAGGAACGGTGAGGAGGACTCTGAGCCTAACAGTGTTTATAATCTCTATGCAAAACAGCATTTAGCTTTTATGCAACCTGAGGTACAATGTCAGGAGATCGCACCAAGACTTGTGTCTTGGCAAACCAGTTCAAGCCTGGTGAAACAAACGGTAAATCTCTGCACGTCAGCATGGGGCAGGATGGGAGAGCTGACGTTTTCTTTCTAGGATTTTCTCATTTTACATCTTGCATTAACAATCTGTAGCTGAAGTTTTGTGCTCAGAAAATTGAAGCAGTAGCAATGAAGTAATTTTTGAAGCAGGCTAACTGTATTGTAAGGCTTTGCCTGCACCTGGTGCTACACCTTATTTTTCATGTTATTTCCTCACATATTCTGACCTTTAGGTTCAAAGCTCCTAGAAGCAAACACCTCCTCCTTACCTTCTCCCCGCTCTCTCATCTCCCTTCCTCTCTCTGCATCTGTGTCCTCTGCTCTGCTCCCGGCTCATGCAAAGCGTCGTGGCAGTGACGGGGGAAGGAGTGGGGAATGAATACTTAAATGGCATTTCTAACCACCAAGAGGTGTCCTGCAGCAGTGGTTATACTGAGAAGCACAGGGAAAACGCAAAAAACAATTTTCTTTGTTTACTTATTTCACCGAGGGGGGGAAAGTTATAGAAGAAAAACAGCCTTTTCTGCTTTTTTTAGCTGCCCACTATGTGGCAAAGGCTTATATGAGCAAATATTTTCCTATTATGGGCTAAAGTATTTTTCAAGGACGTTTCCTGTGGCTGACAGTAGGCTGGCTGTTAATAAGGAGTCTCCTCTCCTGCCAGTGATCACTCCACTTGAGTGTAGCCTGTCTGTCTTCTTTTTAATCCTGGTGCGGTTGTTTTCAGCACAGTAGCAGTCAGAAATCCCACGTGCTTACACCTCCGTCGTACATCCTGTGCTCTGCAGACAGCTTTGCCTTCTCTCCAGTGGCACAAAATAATTTTTTTTACTCCCTTGGAGTCGTGTAACCCTACCACTGACAAACAATGGTTTAAGTACTTAGAAGTAGAAAAAAATGCTAGACAAGAATTTCCATATTTGGTAGTAAGTAAATTTATTGTTAGATTAATCATTAAGAAAAATTTAAAACTTATACTCCACCCAAATGCCACTTTTGTCGGTAACTCATTCATTTACCTTCCGAGTAGTTTCTGCCTGGGTACTAGAAAAGAGGAGGGATAAAGAATAGCGGTAAGGAAGTATCCCCCCCAGGATTTTTAATTGCTTTTTTTTTAAATCCTCCTCCAAATTATTTTTCATGCTTAGTGCTGGAAAGACTGTGTTTTCCATCCCATTGCCCTCTGAAGTATGCAGGCACAGACGGGACCGTGAGGACCACGCTGGCCCCGATGTAGTGGTCGGCACCTCCATCCTCATTGCGCCTGAGAGGAGGGGCGACGGGGCGAACGCAGAGCTGGGAGCCGCACTGGGTGGGCTCTGGCCCTTCCTAGGCACAGCTGCCCGAGAGCAGTGGCTTTGCAGCAGCACCTTCGTGGGGGGCTTTTGCCCAGTACGACAGCACCTTTGAGAGCGGTGACAACTTGCACGGGTACTGTAAGCGTTGGGCTTCCCTACAGAGGAGGCTGATGCTTGGGCCGTACCTTTCTGTCACGCTCCCTTAGGAATGGATACCTTCAGCCAGGATTGCCTCTCTTAGTGGGTTTTAGCTTTTTTATTGCCTGCCTCCCTCTCGTCCATTCACCCCTTCATTATCCCTAATAACTTACATCAATTCTTTAGGAAAAGAAACTTTGGGCTCTGTTAGTTGCTTAAAATCACATCTGTGTTCCCTTGTTACAGTAGCAATAAAAACCTCTCATACCAACCCTCTCCTTGGCCCACCGTGGCAAGAGCATTTATTCTAAAAAGAAGTTCACGTTTGCTTTTGCAATAGTTAGTTTTCTTATCACCAGCTTGTTACTTCAAGACAGTAGGGCATTTTTGTATGTCTGACATATTTAAAAGGAGAATTTGGCAGGGGGTAGATCTCAAGAACCTGTTGACGTTAAACTTGTAGTTGCACTCACAGGTTCATAAATATTTAACCTTTTAGCGTAATTAGGTGTCCCAGACCACCGGGCCCGCTCCATTGCTGAGAACCGGGATGAAGTAATGATGTGGGAAACCTGGTGTGGTCTGAACAAGCCGCTGGCGGCAGCCCGCCCACCTCTACCGTGCCGCGACGCGTGCCCTGTACGCGCTTTTCCTCTCACTCCCCAGTGCTCACTTTCATCTGTTGTTGCGGGGCTCTGAAAGTGGTCCAAGGACCAATAATGGTAAATGGACTTAGAAAACGGGACCTGCGCCGCAGGCGCTCAAGTAAATAGCCCTGGCGATGGGCTGGGTTTCCCAGGAGGGGAGGAGGAAGGTGAGGGAGAGGGAGCATACAACAGGGAGTTTCCTCACTTGTTAAACTCCAACATACAGCTCTGAAAACAAAATATTGACTTATAAAACTATGGGTCTGAGTGAGTTAAGCAGTACTTGAGGAACTTTGCGAGTTTTATCATCTCAGATCAGTTGTGAAATACCACTTCCTTTCAAAGAGCTGGTCAAGTTGCTAGAAATGTGGAAAGCCATTTTTTAGGTTGGCTATGCATTTTTTCTGGGAAGCCTGAGAACACCGCAGTGTCATGCCTCTGGACTCTCTGTGTTTCACTTATTTTTAACATCTTGTGATTGCCTGTCGACTGTGAAAGATTTTGTGGGCAAGTTAAGCCAGTAAAAGGAAGGAGACCTATTAGGCAGATTCAGTTCATGTTATATGTAAAACAGATGCTTAATAAAATTAAGGGTACAATTGAGGGTCTCTTCTCTGCTACCTAAAATGCCATTAACACATTCCTGTGTGGCATGAATAGTGCATTTGCTGCTCTCCTCCTCGGACCCCTCTGCTAAGCAGGGGCTTTGCAGAGCACAGTTTCACAGCCACTCACCTAAGCTAACTCTCCAGCGTATTTTTTTTTTCTTCCCTCCCTACAGGGCTTGCTCTCAGAAATCCTTCGAAAGGAAGAGGATCCCAAGACTGCCTCGCAGTCCTTACTGGTAAACCTTCGGGCTATGCAGAACTTCTTGCAGCTGCCAGAAGCTGAACGCGATCGGATTTACCAGGACGAAAGGGAAAGGAGCTTGAATGCAGCCTCTGCCATGGGCCCCGCACCTCTCATAAGCACACCGCCTAGCCGGCCTCCACAAGTAAACCACTCTGTCTTTGAGATTTGCTCGTTGTGTTTTCTCACTGTCCTGCTGGGCAATACCTTTCTTAAAAAGAAGAAAGCTTTTACTGTTGCTTTTTTTAAAGGCTCGTAGAATCATTATTTGCAGCGCATCACAAATTAAATTTAAGAAATATAATGGATGGTAGTAGCAGTTTATTACTACCTATTTTCTAGTTTTATGATAAATTCTATCCATTATGGCCCCTACAGGGTTTTTGTGCTTATTTTATTGAGATACAAGCTTTACTGGGCCTGGAACATGCTAGCTTTCAGCTGTCCTTTCTTCCCGTAATTCTCAGGTGTTGATTTTAATGTTAAAGGTTCAAATAGGGAATTTGAGGCATTTTGACCACTAAACTGAGTGGGAATGAAAGCAGAAGTATGAGTACATTGCATTGCCTTAAAAATTATCTTCCAGAAAATGAACAGGTAAAACTAAAGGGATGGGTGAAAGAAGACTCCATACCAAAATCCTTTCACCAGGTCGAGCTACTGACAACTGGATAATGTGACAGACTTGCTATATCCATCAGTCTGAAAGATTGGGATATGTTCATTAAAGCTTCAAGTAGTATTTGTTCAAATGAAACTCCTGTTGATTTCTGTAAAACCTAGTGAGACTACGGGTTTAACTCTCCAAAAATTATGAAGTTTCATAGAGTGGGATCCAGAAATTCAGTGGTGTAGCCCTTGTGTCTCTATCGGGGAAAGCCTGATCCTGGTTTTAGGGTACATGAGAACTGTAGGTGTGAGCCATAGGAGTGCATAGGATTTCCACAAAGAAGAAATGTGGTTGTGAATGAAACACTCAAAAAAACAGTTTACCTTTTCTGAAATACTCTGCATTGTTGTGGCTCAAGGTTTTACCTGTGCAAGGGCAAAACAAAGTAATCTACAGGTATGTGGGAATTGTGCAGTATACACAGTCCAGATTTGCTTTACAAAGCAAGGCTTTGGGATTGTGGGAATTTTGTGATGGTTGAGTATATAAACACAGAGCAGTTTTTTACTAACCAGGCTCAGGCATGTGCCTATGACTATTCCATACCCATTCTGAATGCTATGAATTCTTACAGGCTATTTTTCTAACCTTCCTGCAGCTAATGGATGCTAAGGACCACACTGAAGTAACAAATAACAAAAATGTAGGAAAAGGGTGGACAGAAGATCACTTTGACTTGCTGCAGTACTTTTCACAAGAAGAGAAAAAAAATTTAGCAGAAAGAACAGGCTGTGCTAATAGTCTAGTTTTGTTATCATTAACTAAGTTTAGTCTGTAAAATCCACTGTAGATGCTCTTCAAGATAAAGGATGAGAATCTGTTTACATAGTAATCCTTGAGTTGGAAATAGTTAAATATAGATAACTGTGTTTAAAATAACATTTGAGTTTGTTTTAATATCTGTACCTGCTCCCACAGCCCAGGTAATTCAGGGCAAAGGCTAACACTCCTTCTTAACTTATCTCTTTCTGCCAAGGTAATGTCTCACTCTGTCTCAAGTGGTCTTGGGCAATTTCACAGCTAAAGAACAGAGTTAATTACAGGACCTTCCAGAAGGATGTGGAGTCAGAGGTAGCCCTTGTATTGGTGTTAATTCACACTTTACACTGTATAAATCCCTTGCAGCCAGAAGGAAAGTGAGACTTAGGGGTTTTCTTAACTGACAAAACATACTGTAAGTCCAAATTTAAGCATCGGAGGGGGGTGGATCTATCTGTCTCTACTGTGCTGTTGTTCATAATTACATTTCATTTTTTTAGTGGGATTCAGGAGTATAGTTAACCTAATCGTGACAGTTCAAAGTGGAAACAGCATACAATTTTGTTTTGATCCTTTTCAAAAAGAAAACAGGTTAAGAAGGAAACCTTATAGACTAATACTCGAGGTCTACAGAACAAAACAGTCATTTTTCTACTTGTTTTGTTATCCTCTGTCATTCAGCAAAACAGATACACTACCTAGTGGCTGGACCAAGGGTGTGGAAACCTCTGAGTTGGGATTCTGTGTGACCTTTTTACATGTTGACAGTATTACCCACCTATAAACACATGTAGCACTTGCCACCTACCTACTAAGTGTTCAGAGCCCTAAGTTTGAAAATTGAAATATCCATGTTGGTAACATAAGTACTATACTTAATACTAGAAATAATAATGAAATTATTCCAGTAGTTGCGCTGGCAAGTATAACTTTACAAATAGTAGCAGAAATAAATTATAGTCAGGATACTGCAAAATTATGAATGCAAATTACTACTTTGATACCCCCCCCCCAAATGTCCACAGTTTATTGACTATTTGATACTAAGGAAATAAAACGACTAGTGTCCTTACTACTACATTTATTACAAGCAGTTATTTAAAGTTCACTATACAGGAACACAGCATAATATTTTTCTAGCTTAGCTGTGAGCTTCTTGGATAACTACTGAAAGACAAAACAGACCGTTTATTCTGACAACAGAATTTACGCAAGAGCTAACATATTTTACATTAAATCTTTAGACCAGTGTAACGTTTGAAACAATTAAACTATGAAACCATGAAAAATGGGAGCTAATACGCCACACATGAAGGTTTATTTTGCAATTGCAAGTTATCAGTTTCAGAAGGATGTGAAAATAAACATCCTGAAAAGGATCTATTTTGCATTTTTGTGTTGCCAACTGGTGGCCAGACAGTAGAGCAGACTTAACCCTTTAGAAGCTGAGCTTGTTCTGTGTGAATTTTGCATACTGTTGCATGCAAAACCAGAAAGCATGACTTCGGAGGTCTGATAGGATAGTATGAACTCACCAAGCATGAGCCCTGGTGCCTGAGTTAGAAGGAACTGTGTTGAATTTATCTCATTTTTACAGCATTCTTACTACTTGCTACTTGAGCTAATGTATCTGGATTGTTTCCAATTCTTTTTTGAAATCCTTTAAGAAGCTCTTTGTCCCCCTTACTTCTCCCTTTCTCCCTGACTTAAACAAAAAAGCAAAATCTTACTTTTTTTTTTTTAATTGAAATCATTAGCCTCTGATGCATGAGCTTTTGGGATGCATGTATGGCCCTCTAAGCTGGTCAAGTTGTAAAAGTCTGCTACTATCTTCCACACTGGCGGACCGAGCGCAAGAAGACTGCATACACAAGAATTTTTCCCTTGGATGTTGTTCATCTTGCCACCTCCTGGGGCAGAAGCCTGTCTGTAAGGATCTTTCCTGGGGCAGTGGAGTTTATAAATATTAGCATCTCCATCAGCTAGATACTGCATGGAGACATAACTTAACCTCTCCAACCTAGAAGGAAGAAAAAAAGGTCCTTTCTTTTATTACTTTGCCCCCTCTTCAACACCTTCATCTTGCAGATCACCCCACAGAAGTCCTTTCTGGGTGTCCCTAGGTCAAGTTCAGAGGATGACTATTACACACTGTGTGGGAACGAGAGGATGTGGGGATCCTTCAGAGGACGCTGAGAGTGGAGCTACGTTCAGGGTGGATGGAGTTCCCCAGGGGGGTGCTAGGGATTGCCTCTCCCCCTCATTGGGGCAGTTCGGGGTGTGGGGGGAAGAAGACTCCCTCTTCCTTAGTATGGCTTGGGGGGAGGATAGAGACAGCTGGCCAAGTCACAGATTTTCTTTTCCCAAATATTCTGGTTAAAGCTTGTTAGCCATCCTGCAGTTATGAATGCTTCCTTCTCAGGACAAGTAATCTCTATTTCAGCAGAGTTGAGGAAGATAATCCTTCTCAGCACTCATATTTCCCAAAGAAAATTTGTGCTAACTCTTTGGGCCCATCGTCATCCTGTGTAAAAACAGAATACATGTAACATCAAGAGCAGAATATAATTTTAACAATGCAATGTTTTAAGAAGTAGCCACAAATCTTGCATGAGTCATGATTCTGGGTACTGAATTGACAAAAACCTTCATTTTCTTAAATACAATCCTGGCCTCCCTCTGACTACAGATAAATTACAGTTCCTTCATGCTGAAGCAATTTCGGCTTGGGTCCAAGAGATAGGATATCACTCTTGAAAGACTGGTCTTGAGGAGGACACTGATTTGCTGGTGTTTGAGGACCAGTGAACCTCCATTGCAAGGAACTCTGGATAACACCACCTCCTGCGAAACTTGATGGTGGAGCGCTGGAGTTCAAACGCATGCATATGTCATACGTCACCACCAGCAAAATTTTTATTTTTAAGTCCGCAAAATTTGAGATTTATGTTGATAATCTTTGTGCCAAGTTACATTTTTAATGAAAATAAAAATGGACCAAATAATAAATGCTATCCTCTCACCCCCCTGCAAAAACCACCATGGAGGAGAGTTAATGGAAACCCTGACACTTAACTATAACTGCACTTCCAGGCGCCACTGTAATAATGGAGTAGTAAACCTTGTCCTGATAAAAGCTGCTCTGAAAGCAACAGCATTTATTGTACCTCCTATGCTATTTGCAGAGCAGAACTGAAAAGTAGTTTGTTTTGCCTGGAATGAACTACTTTATGAATTTTAATGTACGATGTAATATTAAAAGCTAAACCAGGATTAAAGAAGATTTTTGTTCCCAAGCTGAAACAGGACTTACGAGAATGTGTTATAAAAGATTTTTTTGTTTCAGTTTCGATGGGGAAGAAATGAGCTTCCGTAGTTGTGAAAACCTCTTCAGATTGGTTACTCCTTCTATAACAACCTGTCCTTTGTTTAGGAAAATTGAATTTAATCCAGAACGTCTTGCTACTGTAATCAGTCTTATTTGATGAGAAGATATATCTCAGCAGGCCAGGAGGAGATGGATGTGTTTGGGTCTTTTTTCAAGTATTTTTAAAAGACTAAATTGATTGGTGATAGGAAGATGGCCAAATGAATTTCTGATTCTCGGTGTGTTACATTTGTAAAATAATGCTCCCCTGTTCAGCTGTGTTTGCAAAATTTGGTTACTGTAAAGAAAATATTTAGCTGATCTATGGTTTCTTTCCTAAACAGAAAATGTGACTATAAATGTGGGTGGGGTGGGAGGTTGTGCTTAAGTGTGGATGAGATGAGAGATTATGTTTTGTTTTGGTTTTCTCTCCAAAATGAATACTTTTTTCACCTCCTCTCCCAAGTCCTGAAGTTGCACCATTGAGGGCGCTTTTGTTTTCTGTTGGGTTTTTTTGAGGAGGAGGGTGTTTTTTCAACCCAGCTTCAAAGAGCCTGTCTTGAACTCAATTCTAAATTCAACACAACAGCCTAGATGCTTGCTATGGATAAATTATGAAACAGTTTTATGTATGGATATCCTCCAAGAGGTTAATTAGCATTATTGCATGGAATTCATCAGACCAGAGCAGACCAATGGTCCATCAAGTCCAGCCACAGTCTATACCTAATCTTTGAAGAGAAATCATTAAGAGGTGGGGGAAGAACTTTTATACTTGGCCAATGATGTAAATTGGAGAGAGAGGTATTATCAACAACTCTTGATAATAACCAAACCTTCTTATAACTTAAAGATTTTTTTATAACTTTAAGATTTTTATTCTCCTAAAGTTCTTTGGGCCAATAGGGCTTTTTGATGCAGATACAGTGTTTTCTGTTGTTCACTTCCTAATTCAGTATCAACAGAAGGCAATAGGAGGTTTTTTGTTCTTTTTTTTAACTTCAGTGACATATTACATGCTGTTGAGTTTGTTGTACCTGTATAGAGATAGATGCGATTTGCCAACCAGAATGGGGATTTTCAGTAATTAAATGCATATCTGTATTAAATTGGGCATTGAAAAATGTTGACCAAGATGCATAGTTTAAATTATGCCTCCAACATGGTGTGCGAGTCTTATTTTTTGAAGATCTGGGTGTTCACAGGTCAGTTGTCTATGAAGTACTGCTATAACGTGAAGCTGTCTTCTGAAGCTGAGTAGCAATCAAAAAGTCAGTCTGCTTGCAGAAGAGAGACGATTTGATCGGGATCACAAGAGCAAAGTGTTTCCTTCCCCAAAGATAACATGGACTAGTGTATGCTAGCTGAATACCCTCATCTTCTTGTCTTCCCCTCAGGACCCTCAAAGATTAGTTACAAGTTAGAAATATTTCTTTGGGAAGGACTGAAATAACTTTTCCAAAATTTAAATCCAAGGTCCAAGAAGGTGTGTTGACAAAATCATCACTTTTTCGTTTTCTAATTTAGCTTAGCCTGATTTCTACACGCGAGCTGAGGAGGCTGTCTCCAGTTGTATATTGAACATCCCCATTGGTTGTCAGTTATCTTTTGGCAAGTCCTTTTCATGTAAAGGTTATAAAATTGCCACTGATTTTGTAATTTTCAAATTATTTCACTGTATGGTGTTTAGGAGACACACCTGCTCTTGTGGCCCCATGCTGATTCGCTTTGTGCGAGTCATGCATTTTCCTGCTCTGTGGTGGGAAGAAGGGAGGTTTGTGGTGCTGCTCCTTACGCTGCCCACTGCCAGGTGCCTCAAAATGTTTCTGAGCAGTCGTTGGCCCAGGCTTGGCCATGCTCTGCTGCAGTGTTGCCTGTGAAATGTCACACTGCAGAAAAGGAAACGCCTCACTCTCCAGGTCACTGCTGCAAAGTACCAGTTGTTTTCAGATGAAAGAAAATACGGTGTTAAACCGTATGCCATATTCTGGGATTTATCTTCATTTCCCTTTTCATTCAGGGCTCCTGTTTTCAGACACCAGAAAGTGCTGACGTCTGCCAGCAAGAGGCAGGTGGAAGTGTGTGTGGATGCCGCCTTCTTGCTACGGTTTTGCCCCTTGCAGCTAATGGGCATGTGTTAGCACAGCTCCTGAACAGCCTGATAGACAAATCAAGCTCAGCAAAAGTGGCGTGCACTCCCGTTTCTGGGCTAGATTATTTTATCTTAAAAGCACTGTGGAGGATAGTTAACACAAATTGAGCGTGTCATTTCTAGGAAAAAATGGGCTGATGACTTGCCTAAGTACATCTCTCACCCAAACCCTTTGCCTCTCATATCGTGAGACCTGTGATACATGAAAGCTCATAGAGAGTGGGATTAGAAGATGCATTGTCATGTTGTCATGATTTCCCTTTGAACCTCAAGGGACTTCAGAGCACAGGAAGATGCTGACTTGCACTGGATTAAACCGATAGTGAAAGTGTGGTGTTAGACATGTACTTAAGAGTAGGCTGAATCACCCTTTGGAAGAGCCAAGCTCTGTTCATTAGATTTAGAGGTATTAGAGTATTATTTTAGAGGCTACTAACTTAGACTGGACGTGTAACTTCTGAATGGCTAAATTAATTCAGCTCTCAACAACCTCAGTATGAACCAGTAGGTTTGAATCTAAATCTAAAGGTTTGATTTTGCATCATCAACTTGTGGGTTCTTGGCAGAAATCCAGTCTTTAATTTCCTCTGGCCCACTTCAGGATTAGTGGTCCATTAGGTGCACTAATCTTGGGCAAGCATTGCAAGAATAGCTGCTAAAGAAAGATGTTGCCCTCAACTATTGAGAATATTGTAGGATAAGCTGAGTACCTGATGATTTTTCGTACCTCTCAACTGATATTGCAGAAACTGCACTGTAACCTTGGTGAGATGATTCTTGGTGTTGAAACATCACTTCCATCATTTTCAGAGGATGAAGGAATGAGTAGTCTTCTGCACATCATGTCACTACTGATGTATTTTTTTTGTTGTTTTCCTTAATGCTGCAGATGCAGCGTAGAGGTGGTAGTGTAATCATTCTGTCTTGTTTTTGTGGTTTTTTGGTTTTTGTTTTTTAACCTGGACTGCAAGAAGAATAAGTATTATGTATGTAAGTGAAATACAACTTACATACATAATATAGAATTAATAGCCCTATCTTGATTTCATGAATTAATTAATAAAATATGCATTATTCTAAATTATTACTTTCTCAAAAACAGCTTAAGAATTAAACTGATAAGATAATATTTTTAAAAGTTAAATTTAAAGCCACAACTTTTCTACATTATCATGCGTTTGCGTGTACTGGATGTAAGGCATGAATCAAGATCTATCTGTCAGATTTCTATTTCATTAGAGAATCTTTTGTGCTGCACTTACAGTTTTCATTTAATTTGTGTGCAGCAAAGAAATCATGTAAGGATTCACAAGTCTCTACAAGACTGTTTGACAGGTTTCCACCTAATTTGTTTTATGATACTGAAATTCACAGTGGTCAGTTAATGATAACTTATATTTCAGAGGCACTCACCTGGTACAACATGCTGAATTTTCTTGTTTCCCAGTTGCCTGAACCATGGATAACTTACAATGTTAAGTCTTTGAAAAGCTGAAAGAATATCAGAGCAAGATTGAATAAAAGGAATAAAATGGAAAGGGGAACTACTTGGGGAGGGAAAGA